ATTTAACAAATGTATATGAAAATCAAAGTAGAGTGAATAACATGCTGCTTAAATCAAGACTGGAGTCTCCATTATATTTATTTCTTTTAAAAAAATATATTTTATTGACTTTTTACAGAGAGGAAGGGAGAGGGAGAGTTAGAAACATCAATGGGAGAGAAACATTGACCAGCTGCCTCCTGCACATCCCCTACTGGGGATCTACCTGCAACCAAGGCACATGCCCTTGACCAGAATCGAATTTGGAACCCTTCAGTCTGCAGGTCGATGCTTTATCCACAGAGCCAAACCAGTTAGGGCTCCATTATATTTCTTAAACTTGATGATAGGTATCCTTTCATTTTTTGGTCCCACTAAAAATAAAATTCTATTTGTGGAGTATTAGTGAACATTTTGTGTGTGTTTAATATGACCAAGTAAATTCCTTAAATTTAACTGCACAGAGGTAGGCACACAGACTGTACTTATTACTTACTACTTGATTCACTGAAAACATTAGTAAAAATACTTAAAAGTTTACTGAAAATATTAAAATTAAGTTTCCTTTTTAATAGCAAAATTATTTCTAGGTAAGAAATAAAAGGAGTTTGTCTAGTTGATTCCATTACTTTAGTTCCCTTTTCCTTTCCCTGATACTGTATAATTCCTCTTTCTCTCATTTGAACTTGAGATCTTAAGGTCAATGTCCTTGACCCCGTGGGAAATGCAGTTGGGAGACATTTTAGAAAACACCTGTTGAAGGCAGGCACATGGTCAAAATTCTTTCTGAGAATCTAGTGCTAGAGCTTACCAACCCTTAGCTTACCAAATCACTGCATTCAAACCACAGACTACACTAAACTCACAAAAGACCTGCCCTTGATAATGTTTTATTTTTTTTTTATTGCAGGCATATATAAAAGTATTATTATAGTATAATACTTTCCTCTTTGGGTTGGGAAAAGGTTAAATGTTGTAATAGATTCTTTGTTGATAGTAAAATACACAAACTATAAAACATGATGCTTTTGATATTATTAATTTCATGATAACCTCACAACTATTAGTAGAAGTGGCACAACTGAGAAGGGGAATTGGATACAGTTCCTCTGTTGCTAACAGAAGACATATTTTAGTAGGTGGAAAATTCCTACTTCCCCATCTGAAATGACAGCAAATCTCCCCTGGGAACTAAGGAGGGTACTTTGCTGGAACCTTGGCTTTACTTGCCATCTAGTCTTCTTATCTCCCAGCCCTACTGAAGTGAAGGAAGAGATTGCAGGTAACTCTGAAATGCACCAATTCCTCAGGTAGGCTGAATCCTGAAACGTGACTTTATTTTTAAGAGCTAGGGTTGGGGGAAAGGTATTGATGCTTCTAGAATATTTCCTGCTAGTATTTTTGTTTAAAGGTAAAGAAAATCTCAGTGTCTCAATAATAGGCAGCTGTCCAACAAAACAAATTTCTAAAAAGGTCCACATATATGGTCATTAATTTAAGCCAAAGATAATACTATCCTACAATGGGGAAAAGATGTATTTCAATAAATGGTGTTAGGTTAATTTGATATCTATATGTGTGGATGGATTATCTTGACTTTAACCTCCAATCATGCACTAAATCAATTCTCTATGAATTTGGATTTAAAAATGAAAGATAAAGCTTTTAGTTTTTATAATAAACATAAAAGAACCTCTTCATGATCTTAAAGTAGGCAAAGATTTTTTAAGTGGAGCACAAAAAGAGATAACTGTAAATAGAAAAAGTGTTAAGTTGAGTTTTATTAAAAACTAGAGGCTCAGTTTATGAATTCATGCACAGGTGGAGTCTGGCCAGCCTGGCCCCAATTGGGGCAGATTGGGGCCGGGCTGGCTGGGGGCAGAGGCCACAAGTGACTGGTTGGTGGGCCTTGCCCCTTATTGGAATGTGTGTGGGGGAGTGATTGGGGGCGGGCCTGGCCATGGGGAGGGGCTGTGAGTGGTGGGCTGGATGGTCCTGCCCCCAAATGGGGTGGGGAGGTAATTGGGGGTCAGGGGCTGTGGGAGATTAACTAGTGAGCCCCACCACCCATTGGGGTAGAGTGGGGCAATCAGGATAGGGGCTAGCTAGGGTCACAGGCTGTGGGCTGATCAGCGTGGTGGGGACCTATTGAGGACAGGGCCTGCTGGTGGGGCTGCAAGAGATTGGCCAACTATTGAGGTGGAAGAGGCCAATCAGAGGTGGGGCTGGCTGGGGGGAGGGGCCATGGGAGGTTGGCTGGCTGGCCCCACCCCAATCAGCTGGTTTGCTGGCTGCAGTGGGCATCTTAACAACTGATCATTCCAGTCGTTATGGTGTTCTGGTCACTTGCTTTTTATATATATCGATAAGAACTTCCATTCATCAAAATCACCTTTAAGAGAATAAAAACACAATGTACAGAGTGGGAAAATATATCTGCACATGCTCTCTCTTTCTCTGAATGTGTGTGTGTGTGTGTGTGTGTGTGTGTGCGTGTGTGTGTAATATACAGTATTGCAGTACCTATATTAATAAAATGGTAATATGCAAATTGGTAGGGGAGGCCATTACACTAATGACCTATCAGCAGGCTGTGTGTGCAGCGGGTGTGTGTGGGTGGGACTTGCAGCATTAGGGAAATGATGGCAGTGGGGACATGGGGGGAGGCGGGCCAGCAGAGGGTGGCTTGTACTCCCCACACGGCAGTGGTGGTGGCTGTGAGAGCTTCTGATGGCTGCTGTCGCTTGCCGAGGGCCGGCCCTGGGAAAGTGGCAGTGGGGACAGAGGCAGGGGAGGCGGGCCTGGGGGAGGGCAGCCTGCACTCCTCAAATGGTGGCAACAGCTTTGAGTGCTCCCGATGGCCATTGCCACTTGCCCAGAAGGACCACAGGTTCCTTCTGCCAAGTGGCAGCAGAGCCGCTCTGCCAGGAAACCTCTGCACCAGCAGGGAAGGCAGGTGAGTGAGGGAAGCCTGAGCTCCACGGCTGAGAGCTCCCACTGGCCACACCCTGCCTTGGCCTCCAGCACCATGCATCAAAGGTTCTGAGAAAGGCAGCTCCTTCCTGCGGCCCCTCAAACTTCCAGGCCATTTCCATCGCCCCTCAATGCCCGACAGGTCAGGGTCGGAAATTGGTGGAGGCCTCCAGGTGTCTGGGTAGCCAATGTAGAGAATTTCCTGTAGCAGCTGGACCCAGTGACCCAGGGCCAGAGGGAGACCTGCCCTCTTCCCTGCAGCCAGGAGAACCTTGGAAGACGCAGTCTGCACATCACCGGGTGAGCACACCCGATTGGCTAGGCATGGGGAAACTCGCAGCCAATGGCTGCTGCCGCTTGCCTAGGGCCACCTGGGGGCTCCAGCAATGGGCCGATGGCCGCTGCGAGGACCCAAAGCTCAGGCAATGAGAGCCAGGCGAGGCCTAGGCAAGCTGCAGTACTTGCAATGGCCAAGGCTCAGGCAGCCTTGCAACCATCAGTGGCAACAGCAGAGGCTTGATGGGAGCCTCACTTCCCCGATTGCAGGGTTGCCTCCTGTAGAGGGAGGCCAGAGGCAGCAGCAGCGAGGGGGTGATGGGGGCGGTGCCTTCCCCTGATTGGCTGGGGAAGGCCAGACTGTGTGAAGTGGGCCTAAGCCATCAATGGGACATCCCCTGAGGGCTCACAGACTGTGAGAAGGTGCAGGCTAGGATGAGGGACCCCCCACCCCCACCCCTGTGCACAAATTTCAAGCACCGGGCTTCTAATAATATATAAAGAACTCTAATAAATCAATAGGATAACTCAATAGAAAAAGGACAAAAGATGTGAACACTTTCTAGGAGAGGATGCAAAATGGATAATGCCTACATTAAGATAAATCCAACGTAATTAACCACTGAGGAAGTACAAATTAAAGTGCAATGTGAAATCACTACACCTCCCACTGGAATGTCTAACATGAAAAAATTGGAAAAATACCAAGGATTGGTGAGGATAATAGGGGAACTGAAGTTCTCATACATTGCTGATGGGAGTTTAAATTGTTAGAACCACATTGGAAAACTATTTGGCAGTGCCTGCTAAAACTGAACATATGTATTTTCTGTAACTTAATAATTCCACTCCTGGATATATATATATATATATATATATATATATATATATATATATCCAAAATAACTGCATATGAATATCACTTGCTAAAATGTCACCCCACACAAAGGAAAGAAGTGCATACACTTTTAACCAAGAGGCATAAACCAGGATGTTTATGGAAGCACTATTTGTAATCATGAGGACCAGGAAACAAATGATTACAAATAGTGGGATGAGTAAATAAATTATGGTTTATTCACACAATGAAATATGATAAAGCAGAAAGAAAAATGCTCTACAACTACACACAAAATTGTGCAGGAATTTCACATATATTGAGCAAAAGACTCCAGACAATACTATACTATTCCATTTATATAAAGTATATAAACTATATCTGTCAGAAGTCAGAAATAGTGGTCACTGTGGGTGGAGACTAGTGATAAGGAAATGTCACAATAGATGCTGCTGGGTTTCTTTAGTTGTTCAACTTGCACAGGTGTGTTCAGTTTGTGAAAATGTATTCACCATATAATATACCTATGAAATGTACTTTTTTCTCTGTGTGGTGTGTGTGTGTATGTGTGTGTGTGTATATCTACAGGATGGTCCCAAAAATGTTTACAGCTGATATCTCAATTTTGAAAATGAGAAGTATTTTAATAAACACTGCCTTCATAATTATTCAAAGTGTATGTGCATATTTTGGGGGTCCACCCTCTAAATACACCATTATACCATATATATAATTTTCATATTCTAGCCATATTATAATTATAGTTTAGATCCCCAAATTCCTTAAAAAAAAAAAAAAAAAAAACACCTCGGTGACAGCTATATCTCTGTGCCCTTTGCATGAATCTTGCACCTAACCCTAGCTCATCTTACAAACTACAATTTTTAAAATTTATTTTGAAACTATGTTTCTTTTTTCTCTTTGTTTTCTTCAGGGCCCTCCTGGTCCCAAAGGTGATAAGGTAAGAAAATGAATAACAGAAACAAATTGTTAGTGGAAATTCATATTGACGTGATCTATACTATATTTATCTTTTTTAGTGAGCATCAGATATAGACTTAGTGCTAAAACTATCCTCTCATTTTTTCTCTTCTGCAGGGAGAACAAGGTGATCAGGGACCTCGGGTAAGTTGTACCCTTCCAATCCTGAGCAGAAATTAGCTTTCAGCTCCAAACTTGTCTTGGTTTCATAACTGTCTATGTGTCACATAGTTTGGTATCACCTGTACTTACGATAATTGATTAACGATAATAATTATTATAATGTGCATACACTGTTGTAGTATCTTAACTTGATAACTGTAATGGGAACACTCCACAGTAATTAGCCCTATGGATTAAGGGCCTGAATTGCTACCAACAGTCAAAATTGCATCTTTCCACTAGCTCACGGGGTTCTTTATAATGGCATGCGGTGTTTTGCAACATAAAGGCCTTGTGGGTTCCTATGGAATTGGGCCTTCCCCCCCCCCCCTGCAGTTAAGTTTTATGTGCTATTGCATAAATATGATATATTATAGATGAAAATATTAATGCATTTTATATTTTGAGTCCTCATCATGTTTGAATAAATACTTATTTGAATTTCTTATTTGTTAGAGATGTTGGAGCAAATGAAAGGTGTAATGTCATTTAGCATTCCAGGGAGGAGGAGCATCCTTTTCCTTTTCTCTAGTGTGGCTCTTTTACCCACTGCAGCACAATGGTGAAGGCTTTGTTGTTACCTTGGTAGTGCCAAGTCCCTCTGCTCCACATCTGTGCCTTATTACCCCAATGTTCAGACATACTGTTCCAATGATGTAGTGGCTCCGTTCAGACATACCTCTCGATTTTCTCATGTCACTACACACAAAAGCAAGCATTCAGTTGAAGAGAGCCTTTTTAGTTCACAGTGGAAAAGCACATTGAAAACGTCCAGGTTGCAAACACAATTGTGTAGGATGTGTTTGTCACCGTGCATAATTACTGAATTTGTGTACACTGCAGTCAAGGTTTTGTTGCAAATGATGTAGTCAGTGCAAGTCTGAAGAGTTTGTATCGTAGCTCCTCATGTTTATTAAGCGAGGTGAAAGTTACGCTATTGATTTACGTTCCTTGCTATTCTTCAGCCGTTCTTCATACAGACATGATTATGCCTCAGAACGTTTCGTTTCTCATGGCAGTTATTCTAGCTGATGACTAGCGTCAAGGTAAAAGCTTATTTTATGGTCAAGGAGATTAAACGTTATGATATATGTCATGGATATGAATGGGATAAAATTCTCATAACCTTAAATGATTAGAGTTTAGCCACTTGCTCGGTACGTGGTGATTATTTCACATGGCACGTCTCCATGTATTGTGTATCATTTCTTTCTACACGCAATACCCAAATCACTCAGCTTGCCCTTTGCAGGTAAGGGGGAGACTGTTTCCATTCTGAGAAATCTTCTTTTGGCAAAGGAAGCGAAGGGGTGGTTCACAGCTTAGCTGTCATCAGTATGCATGCAGCCCTCCTTTTAAAAAAGGTGTGTTGGCTTTCATCGTTTTAAAAAGTGATGATTGATTATAAAGCGAAGCCAAATTTTTTAGGATGAAACCTGAAACCATGTGAAATTCACCTGGTTTCATGTTGCAGTGCAAACTAAGACTTGGACCAGGTTTCTTGGAAGTTTGGCCAAAGTTCATGAACTACTTTGACGAACCCAGACTGCCTTTTGTACAGATTTCAGCCAGTTTTCACACTGACTGGGGCCAAGTTTCACACGATTCAGGAGCCATTCAGCATTTCAGGTGGAAAGTGGCAAAAAATGATCCCATTTTCTCCTCAATTTTGCTTTGTGTTGAAGGAATTTAGGTGGAACTAATAATGCAGGGCAAATCTTCATGGGTAAAAAGCTAAATGTTCTGGGAAGTATATGAAAAAGAGAATGAGAACCTACCAGATTGCTTAACTTTTCTCAGATCATTAACTTAGAAACATGGCAGGTCATTTCAGTGCTTTTAAAATTCTATAAATATTTCTTTCAAGTAAGCTAGTAGTAGCTACTTATTAGGAAATTTATTTTATAAAGGTAATAAAATAAATGTTTTATATTTCCAGGAAAATCAAAGTAAATTAGAACTGGAAAAGTCTTCAGTTTAATGATATTAACTTTACCCACAATTTCTAAAAGCACAGAATTTAGGCTGATGCTGATAGAGACTCACTTTTATATAAATCTTTGTATTTGACTATGCTAACTATTTTTATCCTATCAAAGATTTGAATTCTACTTTTTACCATTTGTTTCAAGTAATATATTTCTTCCCATAATTAACAATAAGATCCTCCATCATTTCAGTTCTTTGTTAGCTGATGTTCCATTATAGGATCTATACTGTTTCCCTGAATAGGATGTTCTTTTATTTTCTTTCCCAAGTGTGAAACAGGAATATATTAGGGTATAACATGTGAATCAAAGCAAGAAAAAGATAATATAGAATTAAGGAGGTGAAAGTATCTGGACACATGTTTAATAACATGTATTGAGGATCTACCATGTTCAAGATACCATGCTTAATACTACAGAGACTATCAATGTGTCAACTTTTCTCTCTTCTACTGCTACTGTGTCAGTCTTCTAATTAATCTTGCTTCCACTTTTAAGCCAGTGTAATCCATTTTCTACACAGCAGCCAGAGAGATCGTTTTACCTGTAAGTTTGATCATGTTGCTCCCTGTTTTAAACCTTAGAATGAAATCCATACCGCTTTGGTTGGCCTTCACAGGACTTCAAGATTAGGCCCGTGGCTACCTCTATAACCTCACCCATGCTAGTCGTCCCTCTACACACTGCTCCAGCCCCACTGTCTTCCGAGTGACCTTCAAACACACCACACTCACTTCTAATTCCAGGATGATTTTCCACTTGCTCTCCTCTGGTCTTTTTGTGATTGGATTCTTCGTATCATTGAAACTTCATTTCAAATACTTTCCCTGGAAGAACTTCTGTCATTATTCAATCTAAATCTGATGTTATCCTATTAGCTTATTTATTTATTTTCTTGTTATCTGTAAAACATGCCCCTTCTTGAAACATAAACTCCAAGTAGCTGGTCCATCTTGTTCATGCCACCCACCATCACCTAGAACAGTGAGGACATGATAAATATTATGTTAGAATAAAACATTATTACATTATTACTTCTCTTACAGATATGATAATCTCATGGGTGCCTGAATAAGAAAACTATGTGGTTGTATGTTGTATATCTTAAATAGCTATGCCACAGGATGATAGAAAAGGAACCTTTTTCTATTTTAAATATTAATGAGAGACTGTGGGAGAGTTGTCACTGGAGTTGGGAATTCAAAGATGGATAATCTTTAGAAGATAAGATTAAGAGCAAGACATTACAAATCCCAGGAAGAAGAAATAGTACAAACAATGCTATACAAGTAGAAAATAACAAAATTCATTAAAAGAACAATAATATTTCATTTACCAAGGAAATAGGTTAAATATAGAAAAATTGTATCATATAAGGCTGACATTTTCATAGAAGTTATACTCTGGAGGCTTTTGGATATCTAATGTGGTAGGCAATAGGGGACCACTGAAGATTCTGTATTACATCATTTGATGCATATTACTACCAGTCTCTTTGGTGTTATTACCATATGTTCTTTATGAAAATCTTTTTGTTTGTTGATGTAAAAAAATATCCAAACCTGTAGAGTTTATTTGATCCAAACTGACAATATAGCCAGAAGCAAGTTCTCAAATACTTCACAGAATGACAGCTTTGCAGTTCTCTTTACACATTTGGAACTAAGGAGGGGACATTCGGAAGATTGGATGAAGGTAGGAAAAACAAGGACAGAGAAAGGAATCTCTATGATTGAATTATAGGACAGTTAATAAGATTGTGTGCTTCCTGGAATGCAACTAGGCCTCTTAATTGTCTTTTTAGTATGTTTTTTTTGATTTCAGAGAGAGGAAGGGAGATAGAAACACCAATGATGAAAGAATCATTGATCAGCTGCCTCCTGCATGCCCTCCACTGGGGATCTAGCCTGCAATCTGGGCACGTTCCCTGACTGGAAATTGAACCATGATCTCCTGATTCATGATGCTCAACCACTGAGCCACATCAGCTGAGCTCTTTTTTTTTTTTTTTTTTTTAATGTATCCTCATTGTGGAAAGTCTTACAAATGTCCTCCCCCCTTTTCCCTCACTGACAATCTCTACCCCTATCCTGTCCACTCTACCCTCCCCGCAGACCTTCACCACACTATTGTCTGTGTCCATGGGTTATGCATATATGCATGTAAGTTATTTGGTTAATCTCTTCACACACACCCTTCCTCTGAGAAGCATGGAACAGACTGATGAATCTCTGAGGGTCTTTAAAAGACATTTCACAGGTGTGTTAACCTAGATGCAAAAGAACAAAGGACAGGGCTTGCTTAAAGCAAAGATAAACCTTTTATATGCCTGGGGTGTCCATGTCCACCATGATCTGCCCAGTGAGGAATTTATGATCAGATCATACTGTGTGATTACTTTTGGTCACTGGACTTGGCATGCTTATCACAGAACCCCCCGGCCCCCTTTTTTTGTTTATATGGGTGATAGTGTCCAGTACAGAAATGACCTGGAGGAGACTGAAAGCAGGAAGACCGAGTAGACCAGGACACTATGTCAGTCATCAGGACAAGGTCGTAGGAATCTGGGCTGTAAAGATAATGTCCAGTCCTCAGGGGAAGAGGAGCAGAGGGGATGGGCTGGCTCAGTCTGGAACATCAGGTGTCATTGGAAGTAAGGGGCTGTACTGAGCAGAAAGTAGTGTCTGAATGAGAAGCTGAGCAGTGGGAAAGACTAAATGGCTGCACCAAAAAGAAATTCTAAAAGAGTCACCAAAATGTTGGAGAAAGCGCCATGTTTTCTATTCAAATTAGGACATAAGTTTATTTTTCTCACATAATTAAAGGTTCAGAGAAGGCAGTTGGTGTTATTTATATAATTCAATGATGTTAGTATGGAAGTCTCTGGGAATCTCTTGGTCTTTCAGTCATAATTGCAAGAAGGCCACTTTAGATCCAACCATCACATGTATATCTATTATCAGTAGGGAAAACAAAAATTTTCTCGTGAATTTT